TGAGTTATGGTGTTGGAGGAGAATACTGAAAGAACCAATAGATCCTTGTTGGAAGAAGTGCAGCCAGAGTGCTCCTTGGAGGCCAAGATGGCTAAACTTCGTCTCTCAGACTTTGGACATATTGTCAGGAGGGACTAGTTACTGGAGAAGGATATCATGCTTGGTAAGGTGGAGGGTCAGAGAAAAAGAGGAAGACCCCCCCCCATTGAGATGGATTAGCCAAGTGACAGCATTGATGGACTCAAGTGTGGCAACAGAGGGGAGGTTGGCCCAGGATCGGGCAGTGTTTCTTTCTGCTGTGCATAAGGTCGCTATGGGTCAGTACCAACTTGGTGGCACCTAACAACAATTGCACAATGTGGCGCTGTGGGTTAATGCACCAGACTGCAAAGCTGTTTGAAATGCAAGGTTGGCGGTTCAAGCTCACCAGCTGCTCCTTGGAAACCCTATACAGGATCGTTATGGGTCAGAACTGACTCAACGACACTTCACAACAACAACTACTGCACAGTAGGAGTCCTGGTATAGTGCTATGAGCTAATGCACTAGACTGAAAAGTCATTTGAACCCCAAGGTTGGTGGTTCAAGCTCACCAGCTACTCCTTGGAAACCTTCTACAGGGTTGCTATGGGTCGGAAACAACTCGACAGCACTTAACAACAACAATGGCACAGTGGTTCAGCACTTGGCTGATACCAGAAAGGTCAGCAGTTGAAACCCATCAGCCACTCTGTAGGAGACAGATGTAACAGTGAGCTTCAGTAAAGATTACAGCCTTAGAAACATTGTGGGGCTGTTATTCTGGGACCTATGTGGTCTCCATGAGTCAGAATCAATTCGAAGTCAAGGTGTTGGGAGTTGAATTAAGAGTAGGAAGAGAAAATGATGTAGAGGGAAGCAGAAAAGGGAGTTTTAAAAGCAACCCCCCAGCTCTAACCTATCAGTGAGTTTCCTACTCGAGCCTTCCTTGGTACCTCGGAAAAGGGGGACTTGGGCTCCCCTACCCTCCACCCTGTTCCAGAAGGCCAGTATCCCACTGTGGTATAAATTAGAAGCTCATGAGTTGAGCCTGAAACCTGCCCTACAACAGCAGTGACAGTTGTACATACCTTGGTCGGCCACATTTTCAATGTTGACTTTGCGTTCATTGGCCATGAAGCCGATAACAGAGAAGATGACAAAGCCGGCAAAGATGCTCGTGGCACTGTTGGTGCAGGTTACAATTAGGGTGTCCCTGGAGGGAAGGGATCAGAGTTTGACATTAGATTTGCTTTTGCGAGTGGAAGAGGACACGGGGAAGAGCGCACTGCATGCATGTTCACTTGGGGACAGAGTCATTTCTAAACATGCATCCACTTGGGGCTGGGCCTCATTTTCCCTTGCTCACAAAGAAAGAAGCAACCATTCTCGAATGCAGACTCCCTTGGGCTATTTTATAAACCACAAAGAAAAAAAAAAAAAATCTCTGCCTTACTGCCCTGCTCCAGAACCTCTGGCTCTATGAGGTATACAATCAGTTTCTTCATTTCAGTGGCAAGGAAAAGTCTGTCAAGCAGAGCAAGGGCTGATTGGGTGGAGTGAAGGTCTGGGACAGGAACTGTGTATAAGGGAAGTGAAGGTGAAAAGCCCCCAGCAGAGGAAGGTTGTTGGGATGGGACACGCAGCTGAGGAAGGCAAGAGAGGAAGGGAGGAGAGAGAAGACAGCTGTCACCACCTTCATCCCAGGGCCCTCGGCTAGCAATATGGTCCCAACTCTCCAAACCTGTCCTGTCCAGTAAATCCCAGACTCAAAGGAAAGGTCACAGCTGAATGGAGCCTTCAAATCCTCTTTCTCCTGCCTGTTAGTTGTTGCTTCCTGTCTAGTTTGGGTAAAATGGCAGCCATACACTTCCTCTCTCACAGGTATTGTGAAGACAGATTGAGAAGGTGTGTACATAACATAGAGGCTGACACAAAGTAAGTACTCAGTAAACCATCCACCTTGTTCAATCCCTTAGTTTACCAATGATGAAGCAAGGCCCCAAAAGGAGACGGTAATGGTCTAATTAATGGTGGGTCAGAATGTGGCATCTGCCTCGCAGCCTTAGTTTCTATCTGGCACATCACACAACCTTATTTCTAGTAAAGCTCACAGCAATTCTTTACCCCTTGAAAGTGTCCAGTCCCAATCTTGGGTCATCAGTTAGAGACTCTTAATCTGACATTCAAACCTTTCTCCAAGCTGGTCTGCACCAACTCTCAGGTCCCATTTCTTCTAATCCTGAGTGCACACTCCGACTTCGATTCTATTAACCTGCTTTTGCTACACATGCCTATCACACAACTTTCTTGACCCTTTTCTGCCACCTTTTCTTGCACTGCTGGAATTTGGCCTAGTATGACTCTCACCTTCCAAGGAGGAAGAGATTGCAGTTAAGCTGTGAGCTCACCCCTGCATCCCAGCTCACAGCTTAGCTGCAATAGTTTCCTCTAGCTTCAGAGATGTTTGAGGAAAGTCTGACCTTTAATCAAAGTTCTTGCAATATCACGTAAGTGGATGTATTCACTGTAGATCAATTAGGATCCAATGGTGGTTTCTATGGACTGACAATTGATCCAAGCCTGAGCATTCTGTAACCTAGTCATTCCAAAACTCAAACTCCCTGCCATGGAGTCAGTTCTGACTCATAGCGACCCTTTATAGGGTTTCTGGAACTGTCAATCTTTATGGGAGCAGACAGTCTCATCTTTCTCTCAAGGAGCCACTGGTGAGTTAGAACCGACGACCTTGTGGTTAGCAATCCAATGCTGATCCTACAACACCACTAGGGTTCCAACCAAATCATTAGTACTGTTTAATGTATAACTTGTGATACATGGGCTTCACCCTCCTGAAAGAATGGGAGCTAGACTGTACCCCTCCAGGTGCCAAGTGACCGGAGATATTTAAGCTGAGAGACATCCCTGTTCTGATGTGACCAGCACTGCCAGCATTTCTCACCAGCACCTTTACTCCCAAACAGGCCCTGTGAAGTGCTTGGGGCACAGGAAACTGAGTGTGGATGCCTGAGGTCTCCGCAATGCTGTTGCTGTGTGTGCAGGGACCCTCCCTGTTCAATACATATCCTCTCTTAAAATTACGTAAGTTTGGATGCATTAGGCCAACTGCGTCTTGTGAGGTTGACAGACAACCTGAGCCTGAAATCCATGTCAGCAATCTTCTACCTTGTCACCTAGATTGTAAACTATCTGAGGACAGGGAAATGCCAGGAATCTCTGTGTCTCTTTAGATTCACAAAATATCTCAACCATTATAACAATAAAAGTAATATTAATAGCTGTCATTTATTGAGCACCTACTAATACACAGACTGCAGCCACCCTAAAGACTAGGAGCTTCTGTGTGCCAAAGATTGCACTGACAACTTTGTAAGAATCATCTTACTCCCCAAGAAAATATTATAATCGTTTTTAGAAGATGAAATAAATTTTATAGAAGATGGAATGGAGGTTCAGAGAAGTGAAGTATGCATTCCCTTCTCCAGTGTTTTAGAGTTTTAGTACATTGGTGGTGGTTGTTAAATGTCGTTGAGTCGATTCCGACCCATAATGACCCTGTATAGGGTTTCCAAGGAGCAGCTGGTGAACTTGAACCACTGACCTTGCAGTTCAAACTGACTTTGCAGTCTGACACATTAGCCCACAGTGCCACACCAGGATGTAGTGACATATTTTAAATGCAAGTTGACCTGACTCCAGGTACTCTTCCTCTTGCACCATGCTGCCTTTGAGTGACAAGTGGCCACATCAGAAGTTACCAGGAACGTAGCCACAGTCTAGGAGGCTCACAGATGGTTATCTCAGAACAAGACTGGCTGCAAGGTGACCTGCAGAGAGGCTCAGTCCCATTTTGGAGACAGCCACTGAGTCCCTAGAACCAGCGGCTAGTCTTGAGTAGGTTGGTCCTCATTTGTCAGAGGCAGATCTCTGGTTCTCCCTCTGGTGAAGTGTGAGGCTGTGGATTCTCAGTGCATATTGTGTCCCAGACCCTATTTCCTCTCACCTGCTACCTCTCAGCCTTTGAAGTGGCTCCACATACCTGTAGCAGTTGTTATGGAATTTGTTATAGGAAGACAGAGTGATCAGACCTCCCCAGGCAGCAGATAACGAGAAGAAAATCTGAGTGGCTGCATCTTTCCACACCTGGGGAGCAAAAGGGGAGAAGATTTAAGGTCTCTGAGAAACAGCCACGGTGGGAGGGGCCACATATGTCCAACACTACATCATCTCCCCAAAACAAAAGTGAGGAGGGACAAGAAGACACTGGACTCCAATGTAAATGAGAAACATACATTATTTGTACTGGAAACCAAAAAGGCTGTCAGTTACCTGGGAGATTTCAACTCCATCATAATCAAGGGGGAGCAGCTCCATAAATAGCACATGCATTTAATGCTTTAATTTCCTACCACACAAAACTATTGAGAAGGAGCCCTGGTGGTACAATGGCTAAGCATTTGGCTGCTAAAAAAAAAAAAAAAAAGAAGTTGGTGGTTTGAACCCACCCAGAGACTCCATAGGACAAAAGGCCTGGCTGGCGGTTGACTGTTTTGAAGATTGTGGTTGTTAATTGCCATCGAGTTGCTTCCAAACTATAGCAATCCTGTAGAGGGTTTCTGAGGAGCAGCTGGTGAACTTGAACTGCTGATCTTGCGGTTCAAACCAATTTAGCAATCTAGCACATTAACCCACAGCACCGTGAAGATTATAGCCTAACCCTATCGGGCATTTCTACTCTATCACATGGGGTCATGATGAGTCAAAAATTGATTCGCCCACAGCTAACAACAACTATTCAGATGGGAGAGTTTTTTCTTTAGCTCATTATCTGTCGAAAATCAATTTACAACAGCAAAATGAAAAAAGTCCTACAGATTAAAAGAAGGGTTATTGATAGATACCAAAGCTTGTTGGTGGCTACTAGAGATATGAGTCAGCACCAACGTGATGGCACTTAACAACAATAACAACTAGCGATATTGCTTAAGGGTTTCTGTTACAGGTTATGGGAAAATTGGGAAACAGTGGTGATGGTTGCAACACACATGGTAAACATATTAATGGCACTGAAGTATATATGTAAAAAATGGTCAAAATGGCAAATCTATTTCACCGCAACAAAGAAAACAAAACAAACAAACAAAAAAGCTTGCTATTTAAAATCTAAAACTCTGTGTCGCTTATATTAGTAAAGTAATTTCTGTGTGAGAGCAGAGTGGAAACAGCCACATCCTTCTGGAATTTGGCTGACAACAGCTGTCATTTATGTTAGATGGTCCTTCTTCATGGTCCTCATAACACTGCAAGGCTTTAGAGTTTGTGTAATACATGTATATGATAAGCCTCCTATCATCTTTATAAATTAAATCGTATTTTCAAGTTGACTTTAAAATTCACAAAGAGAAGGCACAAGTAACAAAGCTTTGGTTTCTAAGGGCAGCCACCAAACCTGGTGTGTGGCACTTTAGAATAAGCACTGAATGGCTAATCCAAGGTCAGTGGTTCAAATCCACCAGCCGCTCCTGTTGTTGTTTTGTGCTGTAGAGTCACTTTCAACTTATAGTGACCCCGTATAGCGTTTCCAAGGAGTGGCTGGTGAGTTTGAACCACTGACTTTGCAGTTCAAACCGACCTTGAGGTAGAATACTTATCCTGTGGTGCCACAGCAGGTTTGGAACCCTATACAAGGTCACTATGTGTTGGAACCAACTCAATGGCACTAACAACAACAAGCAAACCTAAAACACCAAACGCATTGCCAACAAGTGAATTCCGACTAATGTGACCCCACAGGGCAGAATAGAACTTAGATTCTTAGTGTTTCCGACACAGTGAATTTTTAAGGGAGCAGATAGCCTCATCGTTCACCCACAGATGGCTGGTGGATTTGAACTGTCAACTGTGCAATTAGCAGCCCAAAGTGTATCCTTTCCCACAGCACCACCAGGACTCCTCAAAGGCAGCCACACATTCAGCTAAATGACCATCTCCCAGGTTTGGGGGAGGTAGTGGTAAGAGAAGACAATCCCATGATTTCATCTAGCCATGGTTAAGAAATTTAGTGTTATGTGGGACTTCTGGGGTTTCTCCTTTTTAAAAGGGTACCTTTATCATCAACGCACCCTTTCTGTATGGGGAACGCTGATATGGTGGCTGGAGCTGTAGCAGCTACAAGGGAGCTAGCTATTCACTGAGAACAGTGAGGCAGAAAGAGAATAGTGAAGTCAGAGTCCTTGATGACCCACAACTGGCATGCTTTCTGAGCTACAGGACTATGTGCATGAGAATGAAATAAACGTTTATTTTGTTTAAACCACTGTTGGCAGAGATTTTCTGTTATACACAGCAAAAACTCAAACCTAGTTACATACTTCTAACACTCTTTGGAAGCAGAGCTATTTCTTGAAAGTGAGGAAATTCTCTTTTCATCTAAACAATCACCTCCTCATATAAAAATTTACACTTAAATTTTAATTAAAAAAAAAAAAATTCTGTTGTTTTTAGGAGCCATCAGGTCAGTTCTAACAGAGTGATCCTATACACAAGAGAACCAAACACTGCCCAGTCCTCCACCATCCTCACAATGACTGTTACGTTTGAGCCCACTGTTGCAGCCCCTATGTCAATCCATTCTGTTGAGGGTCTTCCTGTTTTTCACTAACACTATCAAACTGATCCCTCCCGAAAACATGTCCAAAGTACATGAGACAAAGTTTTGCCATCCTTCTCAGGAGCATTCCAGCTCTACTTCTTCCAAGACTAATGTGTTCATTCTCCTGGCAGTCCACGGTATGTTTAATGATCTTTGCCAACACCATAATTCAAAGGCATCAATTCTTCTTTGATCTTCCTTATTCACTGTCCAACTTGCACATGTATATGAGGTGATTGAAAGTACCATGTCTTGGGTCAGGCACACACCTAATTCTAAAAGTAACATTTTTTCTTTTTAAAACTTTAAAGAGGTCTTTGGTAGCAGATTTGCCCAATATAATGAGGTCTTATGCAGCTGATTTGCCCAGTGCAAAACACTGTTTGATCTCTTGACTGCTGTTTTCATTAGTGTCCATTGTAGATCCAAGTAAAATGAAATCCTTGACAACTTCAATTTTTTTCCTATTCACCATGTACTTGATTTTGTTTACTTGATCTTCGTATAGATGGTTTCTAATTTTATAGCATTGTGATCTGAGAAGATGGTTTGTAGTATTTTGTTGTTTTAAAATTTATTGGGGCTTGCTCTGTGGTCTATTTTGGAGAATGTTCGTGTGCACTGGAAAAGAATGTGTATTGTGCTGTTGTTAGATTGAGTGCTCTGTATAAACATATGAGGTCAAGTTGATTATATTGTTTAATTCCACTGTGTCTTTGATGAGTTTCTTTCTGGTTGTTCTGTCCTTTTTCGAAAGTGGTGCGTCGCTATGAGTCAGAACCGACTCAATAGCACTTAACAGCAACAACTATTATTGTAGAGTCTACTTGTAAGGAGTTTTGTTTTTTTTATATTCAAGTATAATCCATATTGAAGTTTGTAGTCTTCCATCTTCATCAAGCAAGTGCTTCAAGTATTCTTCACTTTCAGCAAGCGAGGTTGTGTCATCTGCATATCATTATGTTAACGAGTCTTCCTCCAATCCTGACACCACATTCTTCTTGATATAGTCCAGCTTCTCTACCAGCATACAGATCGAATGAATATGGTGACACGCATATTTTCTGATTTTTACACCACATAATATTCCCTTGTTCTATTCGAATAACTACCTTTTGGATCTTTGTATAAATTCTGCATGAACAAATTAAGTATTTAGGAATTCCCTTTTTTTCACAATGTTATCCATAAATTGTTATGATGCACACAAATTCCTTTTCAATAAAACACAGGAAAATGTCGCTATGAGTCGGAACTGACTCCACTGCACATAACCACCACCTCTGATTTCAGACAAGATTCATCTGACCTCAGTAATGATATTCCTCATTCCAAATCCTTCTCTGAATTCAGCTCGAATTTCCAGCAGTTCCCTGTTAATGTACCTGAGGAGTTATAGTCTTGGAAATGCTGAGTAACAATGCTACTCTGTCCTATAGAATTATTGGCATTAATTAACTTCAGGGCAGTAGGTGGGTTGAATAACCTATCTTTGTTATGGGCACAAATATAGATCTCTTCCAATCAGTTGGTCAGGTAGCTAGCTGTCTTCCAAATTTCTTGACCTAGGTAAATGAGTACCTCTAGCACTGTATATATTTGTTGAAACATTTCAATTCCTGGAGCCTTGTTTTTCACCAAAGCCTTCAGTGCAGCTTAGACTTACTTCACCCTTCACTACCATCAGTTCTTGAACATATGGCTACCTCCTAAAATGGTTGGCGAGGATCGATACTTTTTGCTAGAGTGACTTCTATCTTCTTTTGATAACTTCCCTCATTATTCAATATTTTGTCAATAGAATCCTTCAGTAAGCAGCCTGAGGCTTGAATGTTTTCATCAGTTCTTTCAGCTTGAGAAATGCCAAATGTGATTTTTCCTTTTAGTGCTCTAACTCCAGCTCTTTGTGTGTCTCATTTTATGACTTTATCTTTTTAAGCTGCCCCATGAAATATTTTCCTCAGCTTGTTTATTTCATCAGCTCTTCAGTTCGCTTTGGCTACGCTGCATTCAAGAGCAAATTTCAGAGTCTCTTTTGACACCCATTTTGGTCTTTTTTTCTTTCCTGTTTTTTAAATACATGCTTCCTTCATGTATGATGATTCCACAACTCGTCACGTCTTTGGTCATTAGTCTCTAATGTGACAAATCCGTTCTTGAAATGGTCTCTATGACCTTGTGTATTGTTGTTGTTGTGAGGTGCCATTGAGTCGGTTCCGACCCATAGTGACCCTGAACAGGGTTTCAGAGGCTGTAAATCTTTATGGGAACAGAAAGCCTCTTCTTTCTCCCATGGAGCAGCTGGTAGTTTTGAACTGCTGACCTTGCGGTTCGCAGCCCGATTCGTAACCAATACGCTACCAGAGCTCCTTATGACCTTGTGTATATCCCACCTAAATTTATTTTGCCCCCTGTGGACTTGTTTTAATTGTCTTCAGCTTCAACTTGAACTTGCATATGAACAATTAATTGTCTATTCTGCAGTCAGCCACCGCCCATTTTCTGGTTTATGATATTGAGCCTTCCCATCATTTCTTTCCACAGATATAGTTGATTTGTTTACTGTGTATCCTATCCATTGAGGCCATGTGTATAGTGGTCATTTATGTTGTTGAAAAAATGTATTTGCAATGAGTAAGTCATTGGTTTTGCACAATTCTATCATGTGATCTCCAGCATCATTTCTATCACCAAGGCCATGTTTCCCAACTGTTGATCCTAGTCCTTGGTTCCAGCTTTCACATTTCAATCACCAGTAATTATCAGTGTATCTTGATCAATTTCAGACTGAAGAAATTGGTAAAAAATTTTCGTTTCTTTTTCTTTGGCTTTGGTGCTTAGTGCATAAATCTGTTTTATGTAATAGTTATATTATTCTCCTGATAGATGTACTGATATTATCCTATTACTGACAGCATTATACTTCAGGATAGCTCTTGAAATACACATTTTGAGGATGAATGCAATGGCATTCCTCTTCAATTTATCATTCCCAGCATAGAAAACCATATGATTGTCCAACTCAAAATGGCCAATATGAGTCCATTCAGCTCACTGCTCCAACGTCTAGAATGCTGATCTTAATGTGCTCCATTTAATTTTTGATGATTCTAATTTTTCACATTCATACTTCATACATTCTGATGATTAACTGATATTTTATGCTATTTCTTCTAATTTTGAATATTATTTTTAAAAGTAATTCTAGGATATTAACTGATAAAATATTTTAAATGTACAGAAAATCCCTAGCTATACTGATTATCTGTGTGCCTACCACCCAACTACCAGCAGACTTTAACATTTTGCCGTATATATTCTTACTCACTATCCATTTTGGGGAAGGGTTATTTGTGTATTGAGAATTTTAGAATCAGATATAACAATACAGAATTTGCAAAGAGAAAATTCCAGAGTGTGCTGGCCCTTTGTAATTTTCTAGAAACGCTCAAATGTGATTGGGCCCTTAAAACAGAATTGCTTGTGGTTTGCCTAAGTGCTGTTATTTTCCAACCAGCAAATTTCTACTTTCAACACACTATAATAAGTAACAGATCAGCAATGCGAGATGGCCCAAAGCTATAAGCGGGATTTCATTCTTCATTTCTGCCTACAGAGCAACCTTAAATGTAGGACAACTATTCCAGGAACCTGAAAACCCCCAACAGCCCACTTCTCATGAAAGATTTCCTGAGTGCATCATATCCCAAGATACCAGGAGGTTGTACAGTCCTTGGGTTACAAATGAGATCTCCTCCTCGGTGTGTCTTTAAGTAAAATTTGTCGGTAAGTTAGAGCAGGTAATACAGCCCTTATATAGCCTTACTTTAGTATAATAAGAGCCTTGGTGGCACAGTGGTTAAGAGCTTGGCTGCTAAACTGAAGGTCAGTAGTTTGAACCCACCAGCCACTCCGTAGGAGAAACATGTGACCATCTGCTTCACAGCCTTGGAAACCCAATGGGTCCGTTCTACTCTGTTCTATAGAGTTGCTATGAGTCCCAATTGCCTACCTGGTAATGGTTTTGGGTTTTTTAGTTGAGGGCAAAAAAAGGCTCAAAGGCTTTTCAAAGATTTAAAAACTGCACTTGTAGCAAGTAAAGGTGATTGTGATGAAGAATTTGTTGGGAGCAGGGGTTGATTCAGTTGTTTTAAAGTGAGAGCAAATATGCATAGCATTAGAAATAAGAACTGGACTGCTAACCTTGAAAACTTTATGGGAGCAGAAAGATGAAGCTTTCTGATCCCTTAAAGAGTCACAGTCTCAGAAACCCTATACATGGTTGCTATGAGTTGGAACTGACTCAAAGGCACTTAACGATAACAATAAAGGGTAAGCTCGAGTTGTCCATAAGTCAGTGGTTCATAACCTGGGGACTTACTGTAACAGCAAACAGTTACCATCTACTCCCATGCAATACCCTGTGGAAGAAAACCTGTGCCTACTGCCAAACTGTCTCAGGCATGACCATCCCCGTGGATATCCCAGGTCCCCACTGAGGTTATCAATGGCAAGCCCACCGTGGCATCTGTGAGCTTCTCCCACTTGGGTGTGATGAAGTACCAGATCCCAGCTCCAGCTCCAGGCAGGGTGACTCCTCGGATGAGCAAGATCACAAGTACAACGTAGGGGAACGTGGCCGTGAAGTACACCACCTAGAAAAAGCATTGGACAGACAGACTGGAATGAGGCAGACCTGCAGTGTGCGCCCATATGAAAGTAGCACCAACTGGGGCAAGAATGTGGTGCTCTTTGACCCAGAAAATGCTGCTCCTGCCTGGGAGAACATCAGGATAGCTTTTCCAAACTCTGCTAGGGCTGTGGGTGCAGGGAGAGCATGGAAGCCAAAGATGAGTCAGAGAGAGCCAGAAATAAGGCCTCCAGGGGTATCCAACCCCAGTACAGAAAGCTGAGGGGAGATGTCACACCACCCAGTCACTGAGTCGACAATTCTCTGAGGAACTACTGAAAATGACAGGTTATGTACCTCCTCTCCTTCCTTACTCTTACCCTCACCCCCTGTTGAGGACCCCAAATTCCACCATTAGAGATTAATGCTTTTAGCTTAAACCTCTCATCCTATTTATACAGACTCCATATGTAAGGCAACCTGGTGAGGTAATTCTGATGAGCTCTAGAATTAGAAATATTTATGTTCAAGTGAAATCACAGCTGTGTGACCTTGGAAAAACTACTTAAAAACTCTGAGTCTCAGTTTTTGCACCTGTAACCTAACCCAAGCCATGGTATTTTCAATAACCTCATATGCATGTGAAAGCTGAACAGTAAATAAGAAAGACTGGACAAGAATTGATGCTTTTGAGTTATGGTGTTGGAGGAGAATATTGAAAGTGCCATGGGCTTCCAAAAGAACCAACAGATCCATATTGGAAGAAGTGCAGCCAGAGTGCTTTTTGGAAGCCAAGATGGACAAACTTCATCTCTCATACTTCAGACATATTGTCAGGAGGGAGCAGTCGCTGGAGAAGAATATCATGTTTGGTAAGGTGGAGGGTCAGAGAAAAAGAGGAAGACTCCCAACGAGATGGACTGGCCAAGTGGCAGCATCGATGGACTCAAGCATGGCAACAGTAGTGAGGTTGGACCAGGATCGGGCAGTGTTTTGTTCTGCTGTGCATGAAGGTTGCCATGAGTCAGTACTGACTCAATGGCACCTAACAACAACAAACTGGGGATAATTGCACCTTTCTTACAAAAATGAGGATAAAATGAGAACACAGGTATGATGGTGGTGGTGGCTGTGTGCTGTGGAAACAGTTCTGACTCATAGCGACCCCATATAGGGTTTCTGAGGTAGTAAATCTTTATGGGAGCAGAAAAGCTCATCTTTCACCTACAGAGCAACTGGTAGATTTAAACTGCTGACATTGAGGTTTGCAGCCCAACTCCGAATGCACTGTACTACCAGGCTTCCTTAATGAAGGCATGTTATTGTTGTTGATAAGTGCTGTGAGTCAGTTCCAAGGAGCAGTGGTGGGTTTGAACTGCTGACTGTGGTGCATAGTCCAGTGCTGATCCTACAGTGTCCAGCATAGTGCCTGGTTTATGACAGATAGCCAACAAATGCTATTAAATTTAACAAGTACTTACTGAGGGCCTACTATGAACTGAAGGTGCCCTGGTAGTATAGTGGATTATGAGTTGGACTGCTAACTGCAATTTGAGTCTACCAGCTGTTCCGCAGGAGAAAGATGAAGCTTTTTGCTCCCATAAAGACCTACAGCCTTGAAAACCCTATACAGGGTCACTACGAGTCGGGAGTCTACAGCATACAAGCAGTATCCCCACCACTATGAACTGGGGGCTGTGCTAGGCATTAGATGCATAAAGGTGGAGGGATCCTTGATCCAGAAGTCACAGGAAGCTGTCTGAATAGCAGGCTAAAATGAAATGACACACAATTCACTCGAGGGGTACAGGAAAGGATGCTGTGTCGGACCTGGGAGTTGATGAAACGACTCATGGAAATGACACCTTAGCTGGATCTCAGAGTCCCAATGCAACCTAAACAAAGTCAGGCAAAGCGGAAAGGTGAAGGAAGACAGTGGGGCAGGCAGGTGTGTGGGGAACAAAGCACAAATTGTCTGCTATTAACCTAACCACTACCATCAAGTCAATTTCAACTCACAGTGACCCATAGTGTTTCTAAGGCTTTAAATCTTTGTGGAAGCAGACTGCCACATCTTTCTCCCACGGAGCTGCTGGTGGGTTCAAACCATTAACCTCTCAGTTAGCAGCCCAATGCTTAATTCACTGTATCACTAGCATCTGCTATTAGAACAGCATGAAGGTGGTCTGCCAGAAAACAAACAAATCTGTTTTGGAAGAAATACAGTCAGAGTGCTTCTTATAAGCAAGGGTGGTAAGACTTTGTCTCTCATACTTTGTACACATAATCACAAGAGACCAGTCCATAGTGAAGGACATCATGCCTGATAAAGTGCGGGGTCAGAGAAAAAGAGGAAGACCCCAGAAAAATGGATTGACACCGTGGCAACAACAAACATAACAATAATGTAAGGATAACACAGAATCAGACTGTGTTTCAGTCTGTTGTGCATATGGTCACTATGAGTCAGAACCAACTTCATGACACTTACCAATAACAACAACAACAAAGTTGAGACTAACAGTAATAGGAGGAAAGGCTGGAGACCTAAATGGACAACTCGTCCTGGAAGCTAACCAAAGGAGACTTCTGGGTTCTGGAAGAACAGAAGAGATCAAGAAGCAATTGGGAGGTAACATCAGCTGAACTAGGGGACTGGTTGCCTGGAGATGCATGGGTAGTACTTTCCTTTCTTAGCTGTCAATCAAATCTCAGAGTAAAGGAAGGGTTTGGGGTATTACAGATGGAGGAAGAATTTCACAATCACATGGGCCTGAGTAAAAATCCTGAATCCATTATTTACAAGTTGTGTCATTTGAGAGGTGACTTAATCTGTCTGCATTTCAATGTCCTCACCGGCATAGTGATGCTAATAACAGTGTACTCCTCATGCGGCCCTTCGAAGGAACAATTAATTCATACAGGCCAAGGGACACTGGAATCAGAAATGTCCACTTCACAGTTTTGCCTAACAGTATTAAGTTTACTAGCCTTGTCAACTCATAACGCACAAGCAGGTTGCACCCTACAATTGCATTGTAGGTTAAGGAAGGACAAGGTTAAGTCCCCATCCTGGCCCATCAAAGCCTCTCTCGTCCATGCCCTGGGCAAATGCAGTACAATGAGCACTGCTGACTCAGAGCTGCCTCCATTCCCACCGATAGTATTCCATCCAGGGGCACCTGGAACACCTGCCCTCTAGGGGAGGGAGAGAGAAACTACACACACACACTGGTTACACAACCTCCAGGTCCTGGCAGTGAGGGGCAGCACAGGGATTTCACTGTATGCGGACAGATCTGGGGACTTGTGGAGGGACTTGGAGTACAGTTTAGGTTGAGATTAGGAAAGGATCTCCTGCTCTTATATCTCTTAGAGATACTTCATTTATTCCAGTAAATATCCATATACATGTACATATGTATTTATAGCAGCTGATTTGTGGCAGGCATGGTTTTAGACATTTGGATTATATTACTGAACAAAACAAAGACTTCTGCCCTCCAATAGTTTACATTCTAGTTGGGGAGACAATTAGCCATAATCATAATAAATGTTGTTTAGCAGGATAACACACTGGACTGAAAGGTCTGGTTGAGCTGCAAGGTCAGCGGTTCAAACCTACCAGCCACTCCTAGGAAACCCTATACAGGTTTGCTATGAGTCAGAACCAATGCTGCAGAATTTAATTACAACAGCAGTACATTAGAAAAATATAGCATTTAAGAAGGTGATTTGTGCTTCAGAAAAAAAATAAAAAGTCAAATGGGGTAAGGAGGATGGAGAGAGCTGGGCAGGATGATTGGGAAGATTGCCTATTAAAATGGTGGCCAGGGAGGCCTCAGTGAGAAGGTGGGAAAGACTTGAAGGGTGTAAGTGAGTCATTTGGAAACCTGGGAGAGGAAATCCAGTTCCAGATCAAGAGAACAGTTAGAGTAAAAGTCGTGAAAGTGTGAGCATGACTTCTGGAAGCAGCAAGAGGCCAATGTGGCATAGAGAGGGGAGCAGAGGAAGGAGAAAAAGAAATAACCATAGAGGGTGAGGGATGAGAGATCATATAGTGTCCAGAGGCCTTTACTCTGTGGGAAATGAGGAGCCATTACAGGGAATTGTAACATGAGCTAACATTTTCCAGGTGTAACAGAGCCACCTGTTGAGTATATTGAGTATATCACAGGAGTGCAAGGGAAGAAGCAGGAACAGCTATGAGGAGACTATGACAAGATATGGTGGTGGCTCGAACAGAGGTATTATCAGAGAAGGTGGTGAGAGGTAATCAGACACTAGATGTACTTTGCAAAACACTATAGGGCTGTTCTACTCTGTCCTATAGGGTTGCTATGAGTTGAAATTAACTTGCTGGTAGTGGTTAGGTTAAGTGTGAGGGAAAGAAAGGAGTCAAAGATGACTCCAAAATTCTTAGCTTCAGCAACTAAGGATGGAGTTGGCATCACTGCAATATGGAAGACTGTAGGTTAAGGAAAGATAGGAGTTACTGCTCCCTCTAAATACAATGATTCACTAAAGGTCAAACTCTTTCTACCTGCAGAACCAGGGATGGGCTAGCTTCCTTACCTCTCCACTGCTACTTCCTCTAAGCAGTATTTACCTCTTCCCTGCCACATAGGAGAGCAGGCCAAAGTCTCCTCACACTCACCTCCTGGTCCTGAAGAACTTGCATTGCTAGGGATCAGTAAATAGGAAGAAACTGGACTAGCTCCCTCCTGAACCTTTCCTTCCACTTAAAGTCTGCTGCAAGACCAGCCTGGGATAGCTAGAGGAACAGAAGATACTTCTTGAAAGAAAGACTAGCAGGAAAAATCCAACACAAAAATGGTAGTCTGACTGGCTACTACAAGAACAAGCAAGTTGTTCACTGGGGAGCCATCAAGGCAAGCAATCAAGTCCCTTCAGGACAAATTCCCCTCCAAGACTGAAACTCAAAGGGAACAACACATGAGCAGGTATGTAAGCTTGCTGATGATCATGTTGGTCTCCTGGTGAGTGGAAGAGGGGGAAAGGCAG